AAAACTATTCTCACATACCAACACGAATTATTTCAACATGTTTTGTCCCTCACTCAATGATTCTTAAGAAAGACTGTTCCAAGCAAAACACCCTTAACTTTGAGGCTTTTATGATTGAACCACCGATAAAGAAGGTGTACCTTATTGGTATAGGTAATAACTTTCATTCTTGTAAACATTTTTTCAAGGATCCTATCCTTAGGATCATTCTCATTCAGATTAGTCTCGGTTCATTTATGTACCCTTCTTTTATTTGGGCGTCACATAGCCAGCCTTCTATCGATTTTCAAGCCCACAAGAGAGAGTGTTAAAGTACTGAAATAATTAAATTTATCATAACCCATTAGCTTAAGTTTTTCGATTTAGCGATGATTAAATACTACATCATAGCATTAATCATGTTTTTGAACTTCTATATCGTCATTTACTCTCTAATTAGCATTGATTTCCACGTGTTCGACTCGAGACTGTAAGCGAGAAGAGTGTTAAAGTATCGATATAATTATTGTATCATAACCTATCAACTTAAGCTTTTGGACTGATGAACGGTCTACCATTTTTCGTTGAACAGTTTCTCTCGCTTTCGTTTAACGTCAAAAAAAAAAATCCTAATTTAGCTAATTATCATGAAGTTGAACGTATATTTATATAGTAAGTTTGTGATCTAAAGTTTGTTGGAGTAAAGCTATCATAATATTCTTGGTGGACCGACTTCAAATGGGTAGGGAATTCCCAATTTAGGGTAGGGGGAAGGATGTAGATGGAGAATTTTTTCTTTTTCAATCTTGAATTTCACAGATAGGGATGTCCTCTGGTGAGCTATCACTCATAATTTGAACTACAACTTGTCTAGTCCTATGACACCATCAATAGGTCACCTCGCCATGCGCCCGATACATTCTTGTCATTATCTAAAATATTTAAAATAAACTGTTGAGTATTAAAATTGGAACGACTCACAATTAGTAGATATTGTCCTCTTTAGACTTTCCATTTCGAGTTTTTCTTCAAGGTTTTTAAAACGCGTTTACTAAGAAGAGGTTTCCACACCCTTATAAAAGGTGTTTTGTTATCCTCGTCAGCCAATGTGGGATCTCACAATCCACCCTCCTTCAAGGCCCAGTGTTCTCGCTGGCACTCGTTCCTTTCTCCAATTGATGTGGGAGTGGGGGTCAGCTTCCTTATTGGCACACTGCCTTGTGTCTACCCCCTTTGGGGAACAATTTTCTTGTTGGCACATCTCTCGGTGTCTGGCTCTGATACCATTTGTAACAGCTCAAGTCCACCGCTAGCAGATATTGTCCTTTTGGGCTTTTCGTTTCGGGCTTCCCCTCAAAGTTTTAAAACGCTTTTACTAGGAAGAGGTCTCCTCCCCAACCGATGTGGGATCTCACAAAAATAATCAGTAAGCACCTTCATTAATGAGGTTACTAGATTATGCAATTACATGTAACATGAGTTGAATAACTTCGATGTGATACTCGAGTATAAAAAAGGGGTATGTGAATGAAACAAAATCACATTCAAATGAGAGTGATTCTGAATATAGGATGACTAAGAAAGAAAATGAAAGTTATTACATATACCAACCATATGTTTTTTTTTTTTTTTTTTT